ATTTAGATTTTTTAATAAAATATTCCATTTTTTACAGAGTAAGTGGGCCGCGACTTTTTCTAAACAATATGTCAGTTGTTTCTTTTTTTATACTAAACACATATTCACATATTTATTAGTACTGCATATAAATGTAAAAAAATTGGAAAATATGCAAGTATATTTCCTAAAAATAGTCTTTCAAAAAGGGGCAGGATGAGGAAGTTATTTTTCAAAAATAAACATTTTCCAAAACAAAACCGAACTACAAAATATAAGTCACAATACAAGAAATAGAGAAAATAAGTGCAAAAAAAAATTGGACCTAAAGTACTTTAAAAAAACATCTCACAAAATTCAGTCAGTTTCCAAGCAATAAATAACTTTATATATATAAATGCATAAAGACAAGAAAGTAAACGAATTATTATAAAAAATGAGTGAGAAAATAACAAAACAAAATGGTGCCAAAAATAAAAATTCCAAGCTTTACATATAAGATTTGTTTGATTTCAATGCCAAAATTAAAGCAATACTTGTTTGTTTCAAAATTTTATATTATCTAGGTTAGACTACGAATTTTATTTATTACATATTACGTAGAAATCAATCATAGTAAAATTCTGATCCCGTACAAATAAAGGGGTTTTGAGAGGACATTCAGTTGTTTAATTTAATAGATTTTTTAGTATTTTAACTTTGTTTTTTATTTTGGAATTATTTTGTCTACTAAATAAACATATATTATATCATGAAAACAAACGACTCTGGATTACTTATACAAAATAAATGATTCTCCTATATTCATTAGTTCAATTAAAAAGCAAATCAAGCGTAAATTTATGGTAGGATAATATGTGGGCATTTATTTGGATAATCGCTCACTTATGTTCGTTGTTTTCTCTTCCTATTCTTAGCATATCTTTCTTTTCTCCCCATTTCTAATTCCTGTGCCCTTTCTGTCGAGCCATTAATGTTAATTGGCTCTGACATCATCTTTCCTTGAAAGGAAACTGCCGCAATGGCTCATTATTCTTACTACATATTGTTAAATTTCCTTTTGGGTGTATCATTTGTAATTTGAAATAATAAACTGTATTATTATCATTTTACAGTAAAAAGAGATGATTTCGCTTTTACAATAGTCTACTTCAGTGGCGTCTCATGACAATATTCAACGTTCTTATTGATATTGAATTTATTTCACTAAAACCTTAGGAGACATATTTACACTGTGTACGGTTGCTATATATGACTCGGAATGATATGTATGAATATGTAGGCAACCAAAAAAATTTTCGACTTCCCATTTCTACACCACTGAATTCGAATGCGTTTCAATAGGACGCCCATTGCTCTCGCACAATGGTACAAATTATTATGCAAGAATCAACACAGACAAAATTTTATTAATTATGCGTGGCGAAGTTTTGTCCTTGTTCCATTGGAAATTAAATTTCATTAAAAACGACAAAGCAATTACGCCGTCACCGTTCGAACGGGCCCTGCCGTCGCGGTGTCAGCGGCGTCCGTCACTTTTTGCCTGAAATTATGCGTCCACTTTTTTTACCCACCTATCCTGTGTTTTTTGCCAATTTTTTCGAAAAATAGTTTTACCTCTTCAATGTTGTCAAATCGCTGTCCTTTCATACGTGGAAATAAGAAGTCATACGGAGCGAGATCAGGCGAGTTAGGTGCATGGGGCAGAGAAACCATGCCAGTTTTAGCCAAAAACTGCTTAACAGAAATGGCTGTGTGCGCAGCTGCACTGTCCGCCACTAATCGGGTCTTTTTTGTCGAATACTGTAGCGCAATCGTCTTAAAACTTTCAGATAAAAAGCTTGATTAACGGTCTCACCACAACCTAGCGGCAGAAAGGTGTACTATACAAGCTCGGCGCGCGGCAATTCAATTCCAGTTTCTTAAAAATCTTTGCCCATATACTTATACTACCTAATTTTTGAGGATATGCAGTTTTGTTATATTGAACGTGTGAAACAGATCTACTGGAGCTCAGTTTTATTAACTAAAGGCGCCTAAGTCTTTCTTTGGACTGAAAGTAATTAAGATTTGGGTAGAATTGGAATACAAGACAATGTATAAAGTTTAAAAATGTTTTCTATTTTTTTTTGTAATTAATATACATTGGATTCTATACTAATAGAATTTAGGTTTGTTGAAATTTCTAGAAACTAGCATTACATATCCAAAGTTTCGATACGACTTAACAACTATTGTTTCAATACGTTCCTCGTACAATATCTTGGAGTTATAAAATCATCCGTTACATTTAATTAATTATTTGTATAAAACATTTCATTTTTTTGCAATTTTATTTAAATGCGGTTTATCTCTCTCTCAATTTCAGAGAAAGCAAAGACGTTAATTATTATAATCCGGCACACGATAAGTGGTCTTGATTTGCCTGGCCTATTATAAACGAAAACCCGATTTTATTTTAGTAGTGTCGATACCGTAGACCTGTAACAATCATTTGCATCATCGCAATCCTTAGTAAGGCTTCTTTTCTATCAGAATGGACAATTTCTCGTCTCTACAGACTCCCTAAGATTCACAAACCAGGATTACCCCTTCGACCTGTTGTTAGCACAATTGGTTCTCCAACATATAACATAGCATAGAACATAGAACATAGAACTGATATTTCGTACTTAACTCCTTTCATTTCATTGAACAATTAAAATCCATTACATTAGATCCACAGGTCAGTTTTGACATCGAATCCCTGCTAACTAAACTCCATATTCCTGAAACTCTCAACGTTATTTCAGATACTTTAAAATCCGAGAATCTGGAACCAAACATTCTCATCTAAATGAAAAAATGCTTGTTTGGAACATCTTTTTCTTATAACGGTTAAATATTCCAGCAAACGTCGGGATGAGCTATGGATTCTCTATTATCATCAGCTATCACGAATATATTTGAGAAGAAAACTCTCGACACATTTGTTGATTAAGAATCCTTTAAACTCTATACACCTCGACATACGTTTAAAGAAAGAATTAAAAACTAATAATAATCTCCCATTCTTAGATATTCATATTAATAAAAATTAGACTTAACAGACCTCACATCGTGTCATTCTGTTTACAGAAAACCTAGATACACAGACTGATATCTTAAATTCATTGTCATATCACCATCCGGCCCAAAAATCATCGGTTATCAATTCTCTTGTTTACAGAGCCGTAAAACTACCTCAATCGGAGTCACTGAACCCAGAATTAAAGCACCATTGATCTGCTCTTCTCTCTAATGATTGCCGCATTAGAGATACTAAGCTTTCCATCACAAAATTCAATATATCAACTAGGCTGAAAGAACATAAAAAGCCTTAAAACTACGACAAATAAACTCATCAGCAGTTGCTGAACCCAATCGCAAAACCGCACATCAAATTTTATTATAGAAATCTATAGGCAGCCAAACAATCCAAACCGCGACAATCAGCAGGTGCAAAGTAGAATACGAGCCAGTTTCAGTTAAACTCTGGAGACGTCTACAGGATGATTGGCGCAATGTCAGAAAGTCCGATTTGTAAATATCATTTGTGCCTTGCCATTAGTGGTGTTACAGCCACTATTTCTTACGTTTAGAATAGAGGAGAGCGAGGAAACAAAAGCGAATCGAAAAAAAAATTACATCCGCAGCAACGGATTGCAATTTGACATAGGCCGGAATCAGAGTTTTCTTATGTCTAGAATTTCTAACTCTTTTGAAGGAGAGACAGGTGACTAGGAATTAATTGGGATGCTATTGGTGGCCATTCTCGGAATAGCGTGAGGAGGGATTAATGCTTCCTTCATTTCCTTTATACAATATTTTATAAATTGTGAATTCAATATGGTTTGGTCTTAAATATCCCGCTTCTGATGTTAGATTTAGACTGTTAATAAATTACTATTCACTCGAATTTTTGGAAACGAACTAGAACAGTCCATATGGTCCGTGATGGTTCTGTAACCCTCCTTAATTTGAGGCTTACACGACGAGCCACTGTTAGGACTTGATGTTTATTTTAACGCAGTAGCGTTTCCATATTGTCCATATATTGATAATTACTAGGTGCTGGAAGGCAAAGTTTGAGTCTAGATGTGAGAATTAACACCGTGGTTCGATTAACAGCGTGTTGAGTGTCATTATTATTTTAAATTTTAAAAAAATCAGTGGCTTATTCATTTCTAGATCTTTTGGACGATGTGCTATCTAGCGTTAATAAAGTGTGTCATCAGCGAATTGGGTTACTACCTGACGTGATTTTCTCCAGCAATGGGTGGATTAAGAATCTGGATTACAATTTCACATAGGCTGAAGTGATTTCCAACTCTTTTTAAGGAGAGAGTGAATGAGTAAAGATCCCACTTCTGATGTTAGATTCAGACTATTAATAAATAAATAATTCACTCGGGTTTTGGGAAACGGATTAGACGGTTCAAGTTACGTGGTGATTTTGATTTCATCTGAGGCTTACACAACGAGCCACCCCTTGGACTTGTTGTTTATTTTAACACAGTGGCGTTACAATATTGATAATTACACAGTGCTAACAGATAAAATTAATTATACAGTATTGAATACAACAGAATGGATTCATATATTTTGTGTACCAATAAAAATAATTGAAACAAAATTTACATTATTTTTTCATTTTTACATTGGGTTTAATATACTTCGGTATTTTTTCAAACCACGCTAAAAAACGTGACGTTGAATTTACCGAGGGTGCGGGGGTGGCGGGATGTTAAAACGCAAATAATTCGTAACCCGGGAACATGAATGCGCCCAATATCAATGTTTAATGCCTGGGGGGGGGGGGGGGGGGGGGCAATCCCCGGCCCCCGTCCTTGGCCGGCCACCTCGAGTCCACGCACCTTCGAATTTCAATTAGCCGAAATCACTACGCCAATGAAACCGTGACGTGGAAATTGCCCGGAAAACAATATTAAAAATGCACGATTTTATCATTTATATTTCCCATAAATCCGATCAGTGGCGTGTCAACGATTGATACGCGAACGTCTGGCATCGAGCGTAGACGTTTCGGACGAGGCGTAGCCGGGCGGCTCTAGGAGTGTTAAATGCATTTTTAAAATTTACGGTGGACGTGTCCGGACCTGATTTATTTATCCACCCGTGCCGCCGTGCAGCTGAAACCTTTCATAGAAAAATATTACGCCTAATTTGAATGTCTGGAATACCGGCATTGACGTGAAATATGACCCGGTGGCTAGTTGTGACCCTGCTGCACGCCCTTGTGACCCTCGATGCGGTAGGCGGGGGGATCGATTGCGCGAATTTGACGAACGTTGTCTATGTAAGTTTAAGTTGGGGGGGGGGGATTGTAAAATGGCACTTTGCCGAGCAAAGTTTCTTTTATTTTTGGGTTCAAGAATTATATAATTAAATAAAAAAACATTATGGACCTGATTTCAAGTAATTCAAAGTTAATAGCGTGCTGTTGAGAAAACTAAAAATTTCCCATCACTTTCGAAGGTACGCCAAAGAAATCGAAATTTGCCTATCTTGTTATTCTTTTATTTATTTTTTCGTATAATCCCTCAAAAGAACTACACCATGTAGTAGAAAATATGAATACAACGATGTACGATATAATAAGATTCTGCATTGTTTAAATCACAAAAAGCGGTTTTTCTTAAATTTTCAAGGTTTTTATATTTATAATTTAATTTAATTTGTTCCTTTTGTTGCATTTCAAGAGAATTAAATAATAAAAAATTCTGACGGGTTTCTGCAAAATTTTCTAAAGTACATTTGACATATCCATATAACATTTTTAAAACTAATTAAACATATTACCGCATTTTCGGTTGATTTTGTGAAATTTATTTGAAAGGTTAATCCTAGCATCTTCATGGCCAAAATCACAATTTGGCAATCACTTATATGTATTTGGTTCAAAGTTCAAAACTCATATTTTATTCGAGACTACTGAAGCTAAATATCAAATGTGCAATAGTTTTGCATAGATAATTTTAAGTTCTTTTTTTTTTTCTGTTGATAATTTAATATTTGTCTTAGGAAAATTATATTTTAGAAATCTTCTTCTTCTTCTTATCGCGCCGTTTCATTACGAAGGTTGTCGATCCATATAGTTAAACTTTGGAAACTGCTGTTCTGAAAAGATCATCCAGTCCATCTTCGCATGTATTTCATCCATGTCCGAAGTATTGGGTTTTTCTTATTTTTATAGCTGTTAAAAGTTCTTTTTCTTGGTTCATCCTTGTTAGTAATTCCGTGTTTCTCACTTTCTGTACCCAGGGAATACGAAGAAGACACCTGTATGCTAAAAATTGCACATTTTTCGAAAAACACCAAATGACTGTAAACTTCTTCTTTCTACGACATATAGCACGATTGCTTGTCTTTCTTCACACCTTCGCCATCATTTTGTCATTTGGGAGGTTATCGCTCCACCTTTTCCTTCCAAGGCCCCTTCGTTCTGTTTGTTATCCCACTTTATCTTTCGATCCAACACCCAGTCATTAATGTTCTCTACCCCGCGTATGGGTTTCTGCTGCATAGGTGAGTATATGTCTACTAGCAGTTTTATATATCCGGGTTTGTGCTCGAATGTGTTTATTTCTCCGTATCCAGATATTCATCGATTTTTCGAAAGTAACCAGCGGGCTTAAAGAGTCCTTTTGCCGAATACCATTACTTGCAGATATTTATTGAGTTACTTTCCCAATGTATATTTTCAATTGTTTCCATAGCGCTGAATGGAATTTGTTGATAGTAAAGAAGGTGTATTATATCTTTCAATTGTATTCAATCGAAGGCTTTCGGTAAATCAATAAAACATACAACTCTAAACTTGCCTTTTTTTTTCATGAAAATCGAGGTCCAGTCAACTAGATTAGTTTTCGTCTCGCTCCCGAAACACCAATTCAGACCAATAATATCCTAAAACATCCTTTAACGCTTTTTTTCCTAATGTTTTTTTTTCGCCTAGAGATAAACGATTCGTCGTTTAGCATTGGGGGGGGGATTTTTTTCTCTTTGAATAACTTTAACTCTGTATTGTTTGGCGATAAAAATGCATGACCCAGAAGTAGTTCTAATAATATGTATCACGTTTCCCTGCAATGAACTTTTGCGCAGCCCGGAGCACGTGGCTGTCCCCTTCTTGTACTAATCGAACTAAACCCGGTACGAAAATGTTTATAACCCGGCGGAGCGTTTTATAAATTCGACTTCTTTTTTACGCGAAGAAGGTAAACAAACCGAACCCGAACGTCGTTATTGCCCACACCGAAAGTCACACACGGGCGGACCTAATTTTATTTCAAGGGACGGGGCCGCGCCAGGGAGCCCGAACTCGGCGACGCACCCTACCAGGCCAATTTGTTATTCCGCTTGAACGGATCGGGCGTAAGTTTTTGCGGAGGTAGCCTGATACACCCCATATGGATTTTAACGGCGGCCCATTGTCTAGAGCGCAACGGCGAGCAGTTTAGCCCGTAAGTCAGGATCGAACAGGATTAGCTTTCTAAGCTTCCCTCTCAGTGCGTGTAATCTAGAGTTTAGGGACTGGAGTCCATTTCCGAAAGGTTTCGAGTAATGAAGCCTCTTCGGTATGCAAAGGGTTACGCAGAGTTACGCTACTTTCATAATTTGGGATTGATTTCACTGTAATTTTGTTTTATCGAGTGCTGGTAGTACCACCCGCACATAAAATTATAAGATTGAAGTCTCCAAATCCATTTTCGCAAAGGTCTTTATATCTAAATTGCGCACACGGGCAGATAAGGCAACAACTTTGGTCTTGTTAGATTATAGCGAAGCTTTCAATAGCCTCAATAACCAAGTAAAAATACTCCGAATTTAAATTTAAGAAAATTCAATTGATTCGTAATTACCTGGGTCACATATATCAACCAGGTTCGATTGACAGCATTAGATCGAAGTTGAGAAGGATGCGCCTCGAGGCTCACTATTAGGACCTCTTTTTTCATTATTTATACACCAGATATGTCGGTTTGGTGCGTTCAGTACCCACAGACATGCTGATGACACACAAATACCCGATCTGACGCAGTGAAAGCGGCAAGGAGACTAATTAATTGCTTGAAATCGGTCTTTAAATACTCAAATGATGCGTTGATTTACTTTGAGCCAGCGAAGTATTGGACCGCTCAAAACTTGGAAATATTTATAAATTGTATTAAAACTCCAGCTGTTGAGGCATGTAAAAAACTTTGGTATAATCTTTGATAATGAACTTAAATTTCATACACAGGTGTTCAAAGTTCTACAAAAGGCATATGTGCTTGGATGTTTTGACAAAATATAAATTACAAAAAGTACAGAATTCATGATTCGATTTGTTTATAACATAAAACGAAGATATCACGTAAAACATAAAGAAAAAACTTTTACGGAAAAATACCTGAATAATGAAACACTTTATTTAATATTATTTTTTATCGCAGAAAAACAAACTGGTTTTCCTGCAGATTACTGTCCTGTTCTGTATATGTTCAGGGCCTTAGATGGTAACACTGGATGTACTCTAATATTAACGGATTTCACAATAGCTTTTGATATGGCTAATCATAAAATTCTTACATCTATATTACTCTACACTGGTGCTAATACACAGGCTTCAAACCTTGTTCTGCCATTTATACCGGAGATATACCAGGGACATGATAACATACTAATACCACAGTTGTATCTCAATTTCCTAACCCTCCAAGACGACGACAAGCAAATATACGGGGTGTTTCACCAGAGGTTTGAATAGTTCCATAAGCGGAGATGTTCTATCGAGCTAAAATATTTTTAACGCTGCTTCGTTGCCGCTTTTTCGAAAAAGTAGAATCAATATTGAAATTTGAAATGGGACATCGTGTATACTATCGGATTTTCCGATCAATGGCTTGATCAAACCGTAGCTTAATTTTGGATGCGGCGTTCCGTCTTGCCACAACTCCTTTCAAAACACTATTGTTGCACTATGTTTCACGACGTATTTCATAAAAGTGTGTTTATGCAAATTATGTATGTTTATGAAAAATTGACTAGCACTGCATATATTTAATTTTTCAAAGAAACTTCCACAGGCTACTGTAATGATTTTTAAAAAACTTCTGGATTCCTCCTGCGTCGGTTTTTGCTTAGTCGAAATTGCTGACGTTTCGCCAATCATCCTGTTGGCCTCTTCAGAGCTTGACTTAACTTGACACCACCAAACTCACTCTCAGTCAAGCTCTGAAGGAGCCAACAGGATGACTGGCAAAACGTCAGCAATTTCGACTCAGCAAAAACTGACGCATGAGGAATCCAGAAGTTTTTTAAAAAGCACTGCTTATATTTTTGTGTTGCCATACTACTAAATTGACTACTCATTAGGATAAATAGAGGTAAAACCAAGAAACACCAGATGACATTTTTATTCTAAAAAGGTTTCGTCAGACCACTGCAAATTAATTATATTTTTTAAAATTGCCCATAAAAGGTTTCTTGTTATCAACGGAATGACTGTCGTCCAAAGCAAGTTCCATTAAAATCTAATCTAGTGCGGGTATTTTTAAAAAAAAGAGTAAACTTTAGTAGAACCGCTACACTTAAAAATTTTGGAAATAATAAACAAAATATTAACTAATTGACGGTGGAAATTTAGCTTTATTTATTTTCAGCGAGTTTATAACGGTGGCCTTGGGAAGCGTATTAACAGATGGCGACGGAGCCCAAATGGTTCCGGCAGGCCGTGTCTTCATCAGCCCGGGATATCTCGTAAACGGAAACTCGGATGACGTCGGCCTCGTTCGATTGGCTCGACCCGCGAAACTAAGTGCCGCCGTTTCTGTGAAACTAAATTACGTCTAACCAAAAGTATTTTTTTTTTAGGTAACTACGTCCAAACGATTTCCCTCCACCGCAATAACGGAGAAAGTTTGCTTAATCTGACGGCGTATTTGACAGGTTTCGGTATAATAAACGGTAAATTATTTGCTTTTGTAAATGTCAACATTTTGACACAAATTGAATAAGTGCTTACTAGGTAGCTGTCAAATAATGTCTGTCAAGACATGCTTAATAAAGACAGACAGCACGGATTTTATAACTGTCATGGCGATTCACAATTTATCCGATTTTTGAAAAAGTATGGTGTTTCATAATAAATATTTCGCAAAATTAAACTACTGACAAAATTACGCTAGATATTTTAATTCTGCTGTGAAAAATATATTTAAAAAAAGCAATTTGTAGAAGGACATTTCCTAACTATGGAAAAGTGGAAGTAACAAAGTTAACACCTTTGTGATATAATTTCCAAATTGAGTGGCAAATCTGGTCAGTTGAAATTTACAAAGATATTTTAAAATATAGTAGAAAACACGATAGCGGCCGTTGTCGTTAATTAGCTACACCATTAGAAATTTCAAATTTTGATCAAGTCCGTAAGCCAACTTTTATGAATACTTGTGCAGTGACAAATAAATAGACTAAACTTATTGCTAAGAAGAAAGTGAAAAAGAACATGCCATAAGTAAGGAAGTTAAGTCACAACTGGAGCTTCATCAGCTGACAGAGCTATGGAATTTCTAAAAGAGGATGCATATTAGTCTTTCCTTTTAGGAAATCAGATATCAGCTACATATCCATTGATATGTAGCTGACACGAACAGTGCTTATATGTTTTTATGGCTTGAAGCTATGGCAGGTGCTGAGGCAAATGAGATTTTTTCCTCTTTAATTCGCTGTTTAAATAGTGTATTTACCAATAAAAGATCCTCTGGTGGTCAAAATAACAATAAATTATTGGCAATTTAAGACCTTTCCGATTAAATACAGATTGAGTTTGTTATCGGCGGGCTTATAGCTTTATGCTCTGTGACAGCGACGTTGCGATTTTATAGAAAAAAGGCGATCTGGTCAACGTCATTCAATCAGCAAGGTACAACCCACCATTTGAAGAATTCAATATGGGCAATTTTGAATTTTGGGATACAATAGGACCTAGTTCTTAACACATCAGCAAAACAGATCGATAAAGATATCTGTAAACTACTCTGACTTCAATCAGAAAACAGAATATCTGAAAACAAGAAGAAAAGTCTTCGCTTTAGGTTGCCCTATCTGAGTAATCCACTGCCTCAAGAATCTGCTACGAGCATACGTCAGAAAGGGAGTTCTTTTTTCTTAAAAAACATGTTTATTTTTAACATGAAATTTACATTTTGTTTCACGTTTGTGGTTAGCCCAATTTTTATTATCAACAAGCCCTAAAATATATAAGCATATTGTTAAAATGTTCAACGGCACTTTCCCCATTTGTTTTTTAATTTCACAATTTTTATTTTTAGTTTTCTTTTATTAGCTACATCAGTTTGAGTTAGTATTAGTTTTCATCTGCCTTAAACAATTTTTTTATGTTATTAAGCTAATAAAACGAATAACCTCTTTTTTGTTGTATTTTTCGTGAATATCTCAAAACTTTCTTTTTGGCACTTGTCACCTTTATTACTCCCACCTTATTCCAAAACGCCGCCATATCTCAAAGGCGCTTTGACATATCAAAATGCTATCTCCATAGTCTGAAAATTTGAGCCTAGTATATGGAAGTCACAATCTCTCAAAAGCAAGGAAGCCGCGGTGACCAATGAAAAACTATTCGTTAGCGATCAATTTAATCAGTGGGAAAAATGGTTTACAGACTTTCGCAGGCGACCCAAGAGGCTCCGGAAAGCGATTTTGCACGTGGCAAAGCCCGAAAAGTGTTCGCTGAAACCGCAAGACGACCAGATCTGTTGCACTTCGACCGTGGATGAAGGGAAAGCTTGCAAGGTAACTATAACTATTCAATAACGCAAAATAATACTCGAGATGCAACAAGGTCGTTCTTTAAAATTTCTGGACTTGAGTATAACTAAATCACAAAACAAATGAGATTTTTGGGTACATAATAACTAAAATCACCCTTAGACATACACACACAATAGCAGCATTTCATTCTTTCATCGACAGAAATTTTTGAAAAAGAATTAAATATTATAAAACAGGTTACTAGGTCTCTTTGATATATAAGATTTTATCTGAAAAACAATGAATTACATAGGAACCTAGCGAGAAAGTTTCCACACGTCTCTCTAAATGTCATCTCAATATTGCTTTTAAAACTGAAAATATAGGTATTTTGAAAAAACGATAAAGCTAAGTCACAAAAAACTCAAAAATCTGGACTATGCAGGTTAAAATACGTTCGAAAATTTATATCGGACAAACAAGTCGAACATTCGGGAATCGCATTAATGAACAAAAATGAACAATCTTCATGATAATTTTGATATTTTGCATTAGAAAGCTATAAAATAAACTGAATGGAAGCTATGGAGATTGACAAAATAATACATTCGAATTCATTACTCAATAACCATTTGGATTTGACTGGATATTCGTTAAATCTGACTTCAAATTTAACTGTAAATAGGAATTCATTACCACCCTAATATATTTAAAGTCCTCGGAAGAATTTAATATTTTGTGTTTGATAAAGGCACAGTGTTGCCGAAACGAGAGTCACCGAGGGGCGGGAATATAATGCCTTTGGGTACAACGCACGGCGTTGTGTAACATCGTGAGTATTATATGGGCGTTGTGTTGGCATTGTGGGCTTTATAAAGGCATTGTCAACCATTTTATCTTGATGCACTGTTTCCTGCGTTTTCCTAGCTTAACTTTTATTTCGTATGAACTAGTGTGAAGTTCATCAGGGTTTTTCTAACCTCAAACATGATTTATTTAATCATCAACTTTGTTTTTAAATTCTGACCTGGATTTTAAAATTCGGATATGGAAAGCTTCCGACGCTCGTTCTGATGCGTTCTGATGTCCCAATGAGAACAACAATCGCTTAGAAAAAGTTTTGGGCTGCTCAAAATAAAAAAAATCAAAAAAACATTCGATTTGGTAGAAACTGAGTCAAAAAGCAGCTCGGAAGAAAGTGATCATATTCCCAATTTTTTATTTAAAGGGGAGTTAAAAAACAGAAATAAAGATACTGACGAAGATATTGAACTCGACATTGAACGAAACAAATTTTATAAAGTAGCTTATGATAAAAAATGCTATATAGGCCAAATTGTATAAAAAGGGGAGTAGAACCCCGTTTAAAATTTACTTTTTGCAAGTGATGATAAAATATTTATTTTAAAAAAGGCTGACAAAGTTAAAATTATTAAATTGTACGATTCAAAAAAGTTAACCAAATACACATTCTGCTATGATACTTAAAACATTTCCGTGTATTTATTTAACATTATTGTAATTGAAATGATGTTTATAAATTCAGTTTGATGTTCAAATAGTTAAGTTATCTATATTATCTTATTATAAAGAAGGGTTCCTATCTTTTTTATGTATAAATGGAAAAGTCTAGAGCAAAAAAATGAAATAATAATTTAATGAATTAAGTAAAGCATTGATAGGACGAAAACATATAATTTTTTTTTTAAATACATTAACATTAACTGATGAATAAAAGCCTATGTTTATTGCATAAGTCTGAGATCATAAGTTTTATTTTAAAAAATCAATCTGTCGCATTGCTTACTGCACTTGAAGTTTAATTGAAATCAAACGAAGGACTTTCAATTTACTTTATTTAGGAATTTTTCCATTTGGTTTTCTTTTAATACGTTTTACAAAAGGGGATGGCTGTATGACCTAACAAGGGGCATTGTGAACAGTTCATAGAAATTATATGATATCTTATGGGAAATGTAGACATTGTACGGCATTGGAATAGATTATAGGAATTAGGAGGCATTATTTGAGAATTTCGGGAGAATTGAGGCATTTTGATGTACATAAAATGATAATAAATAAATAATATATGAAAATCCGAACGCTGTTTGTTCTCATTTAAAAATACGATGAAAAATCCTAACTTTAACTCCGTGTCTCTTCCAAAAAAAGCAAGTTTATAAAAAATGGTTTAATATTAACACCTAGTAGTGTTTTTCTATTATAAGTAGCGCGTGTGCCCCTGTAAAGCTACGATGAAACGGAACCGGATCTTCATTGGTCCAAAATGGCGTAGCAAAAAAAAATCATTTAGCTACAGAGGCGGACTTTTAATAAAGCATTATCCGAGCCGGTAACAAATTTGAATAAATAAATCTATAAAAAAAAAAGTTAACTAAAATGAGTTCGTTAATTAGGTCCATAAAGTTTAATTGGCATCAAAACAATAAAGAAATATCACAATATTTAAAAATGTAGTTGGCTATGACATCACAATCTATTTTTTTTACGCATTAAGTTATAAACAAACTTTGACATTTCTGTTTGCTTTTGTTGTTTTTCATATTTCTGTTTAAAAAGTTGTATTTTAAATAAGTAATAGTTTGTTGGTTAACTTATAACTTTATTTTTGTTACTAGGAATTTTCAATCAAGCTAGATAATTAACTATTAAATGTGTCTTTAAATATGAATTCTGAAGTTTTATTAAATCTAGTATAGAGTCGATTTTTCCCAAAATCTCCACGTATTGATGGACACCGTGTATTATTAGCAATAGGTTTTATTATATCTTTAAAATAAGTAGTCTATAATATTGCCAACAAGTGACCTAAGCTTTAAATTCAGCAAGATTTTATACAGATGTTATCTTAAAGGGATTAAAATTTAAATATAAGATAAGTTACAACCTTACCTTGATTTTTGTCCTACAATTGATATCTGAATAAAAACATACGGTGTTAAATTTGAAAATCTTGAGATTTTATTAATTAAAGTCGCCAAAACGGTACCACCTATTTGGGACACTCTGTATAAGCTGAGGCGCATCTGTCAAACTGATTGAGTAGCGCATCATCTCCTTAGTCTGTGGTTAAATTTTCGTTGAAATATCTGGATCAGTAGCGTCACAACACAATTTTATATGGGGCATTCAAATTATTAAAAAAAACACATAAACTCAATTTTTAAGAAAGTGATCTTTATTTTAACCAAGGATGTGTGTCGACACAACGACGGGTAAACAGGGGCGGACTTTTAATAAAGCATTATCCGAGCCGGCCGGGGGTGTGGGGTGGGAGGTCGTAGGCAGTAGGCGGGCTTCGAAACGAGACAAAAAAAACTCGCTCGCGCATTCGACCCCCCCGCCGCCCTTTCATTTCCCGTTCTGTAAATTTCTAAACGGTTTCTGGGTTGTTTGAGGGCGTCTTTTTTGCCCGCCTTGATTAACTTGTAAGGGTTGGCGCCCGGGCGTATATTGGATTCTTTTGAGGAGCCGGGGACCCCCCGACGGCACGCCAAATTATATTTTCGCCGGTTAATAAAACGATAATAATATCGGGATTAAATTTCGCTTTTTTTCTCTCATCGCCCCCCACCTATCGTAGCGACGCGACTTTCGCGCCGTTGGCGAGTTTGTAAAAATTGAAGGGAATTTTTGTGCTGGTATGCGAGTTGTCAAACACCCGAGAAAAAATTCAGGTTCAATTATTTCCTCTAATTTAATTACAATAGTTCGTATTTGAGGGCCTCTCTCTGATCTTCTTCAACCAGAAGCATTGCCGACGTCCAGGTCCGTGTTTTCCCTCAATCTTACCATCCATTACAAGCTGTTTTTCTCTTTCTCACTATGTCGAGGAGCTGTAGCTCCTTTTTAATTAGAAGTCCTTCATTAGAGACACAATGAGTCCATGGTATCCTCGACATTCTCCGACACACCCACATCTCAAATGCGTCCAACTTTTTCAACTCCGTAAAAAATTATGGAAGGTTATCTCTGAATTGGATGTTGAGACGTAAGTTTGGCAATTTTAGGAAGTTTGTTCTTGCCCAAATATCTAAATTTTGAGACTCTTCCATATATGTCTACATTCGTTGCCCATCTTGGATATCGATTTATCACCATGACTGTTGTTTTCTTTATAGGATAATCTATTGAGTAGTCTTTGAAAGCCTTCGGAGGTGTCTGCGATCACAAAGGTGTCATCTGCGTATCTCAAGTGATTCTCGAATTATTGCTTAACCCGTCATTCACTTTTAAGCCGTCGCCGTGGTTGCAGGGGCTTCTAGTTTTACTGTCACCTCTTGTTGTTCATAAAGCTTTTGAATAAGTATGGTTAGGAACTCATTGATGGTCGATATCTACCAAATCGAAACCAACCGAATATCAGATTGATAACTTCAAACTTTGAACATGTTCCCTAATTCAGCACTCAAGTAGACTGAAAAGTTGTTTTAGTTAGATGGGGACAGAATAGAGTTTTGGGGAAATCAAAGGTGAAAGTTTCCGCCCTCTAGTTGAGGAGGTCGCATATGCATGGAATGCTTTAAACTCCTGTCATCGCAAATGGAATTTTGTCCTTGACGGACCGAAGATGTTGAGATGTTTTTGGACAAGTGGTAAATCTGGTTTTGACGTTATACTTCTTTAGAACTTTTGGTATGTGGCCAGTGATGTTTTGAATGTAAGGAAAAGGACCATAATGACCAGTGTAGGATTGGTTTCGGCCTCATTGCTATTTTAAGGTTATGGTGAAGTGTTTTTTTGATGGAATCTTTAATATGGAAATTATTAGAGAGCCTCGTCAAACAATATATAAGCAGGTACAGAGTAACATACGAAGCAGTTTGAGTCAAGCTCCGAAGAAGCCAACAGGATAATTGGCGAAACGTCAGCAAGTTCGACTCGGCAAAAACCGACTCAGGAGGAATCCAGAAGTTTTGTAAAAAGTTTTACAGTAGCCTGTGGAAGTTTCTTTGAAAAAAAAACTCTTCATATTATTTTATGGATTTGTTGATTATGTTTCTTCCAATATTTATTTTAAACGATTTTCTATCAATATTTTCAATTTTGATTATATTTATTTTTCTTATCTATTTCTTATTTTTCTTTTCTAATCTCTCTTTATATGACATTTAGATTCGCGCATCCACATCGAACAAACTCCTAGTATTCTTCATGTAATGTACCTCCGACGGAAACACGAAAAATACTTAAAATACAGAAAATCCAAAGGAGTCAAATCAGGTGATCTCACTGGTTAGCTTCAGGGTCTCTTAAATCTCACAATGTAAATAAAATTGAAAACAGGTTAAAATTTGTCACAATCAAGTAGTCAAAGAAAAGTGGAAGCAAGGTCTCGAATTTGAAAGAAGTTTTGCTACTTTAAAATTGATGTATTGGGTTCGTAAATTCGTTGCGTTACCATATAAACGATTATCACTAGTGAAAATAATGATTAAAAGGCCCGGTGTTCAAAATAATGACACATCTTCCAAAATTTTTAAGATATCGAAGTCATTATAGGAAAATTTGAAGGAACCTACAATGAAATCCAACATCAGGTGTTAGATTTAAAAGATCTGAATTAAGAGAGATAAGTGATAAGATACAATTTACTCCTATGGAAGTATTAAAGAATCACACAGTAGTGTAGTAGCTATTTTGTATTAGTTTATGCATATATATTGAATTTCTATTTACTAAAAAAAAAAATAGTATACAGGAAATTAAGCCTGTTGAACCTCACCAAGTGAAGCTGAGATGGGGTAAAACAGATGAAGAAATGTGAAAGCTTAGCTAATCTAATTTTATACCATACCATAATATGGGGATCGATGCGTGGACCAAATTTTTACCCAAGCACAAAATTACCTTTCGCGTCGACGCGTTCCAACCAAAACGTTATTTCCCGACGAGCCAAATTTGATTTCAGGGCGACAGCGGAGGGCCATTAGTAACAATCATCGCCGGCAAAACTTACCAAATAGGCATCGCCAGTCACTTGTCACTGCTACCAATTTGTCAATTAAAATTCAACAATTCCATCTATGCGCGCGTTTCGAAATACATCGAGTGGATTTCGAACGTTACCGACGTTAATTTTCAATATTACGACGCGTAATAATAATGCGTGCATTTTAATAGGGCCGATGTGACACTGTCAATAAAATTTTAACAAAAAGCGTTTCAATTTTTCCACCCCCTATTCTTGAAGTGTAAATATTAAATTAACTTTCACAACTTTGAATTAATAAATTAATGTTATTATTTTATAGCGTCGACAGGTGCTGTATTTTACATACAGCCACAAAAAGTAGAAAATTAAATTTATTGGAAGCAATATCAATTAACAAAATGAGACATTGAAATGTATTGCTTAACCGTCAATTAGATTTAATTTAGATTTTATTGAACTTAAATTCTCACAACAACATTAATTAAGGTTTTATAGTCATCTTTCGGTATATAGTAGCAGGTAGTTTGTAAATATTACATTTGATAAAGACACAGTGTTGTCAAAACAATTTTTATGTAAAAATATATAATTTCGTGAAAATCTGAACTTTTAGTTATTATTTATTTAAAAAAACTAACCAAAACTAACCAAAACTTTTAAAAACCGGTACTTTTTTCGCAACATTTTGACAGCAAAATTTTCAAAATCCGTTAAAAAATAAGCTCACAGGAAGGAAAAACCAGATAATTAAATAAATTTTTATATAAGCAAAATAGGTATTACTTAGGTGGCCCTGCTTCAATTCATCATCAAGTCGGCATGATTGAAAATTCTGACAGTTTGTACATTTCTATCATGTTATCGATTTGGATTATCAATGAAAACAATAATAAACGTTAGGAAGGGTTACTTACATCTTAATATAAATTGGTTATTAAGTAAATATCTATCGCAATTATTTAATTCAATAAATACAAAACTCCAGTTCCCAAATAAATGAATGTGATGTTCTGCGTCAATGTAAAACTTGTTTTACAGTAACACACGTTGATATACCACTTTCAAAACGATTCTACCTACATTGTTGAGGTTTCATCTTCTAACAGATTTTCAAAATATTCTGTAGAATTATCCCAAAAAGTGACAGACTTGAAAAGAAAAAAAAATCGATTCTCTTGTTCTTCTGAGTTTCCGGTTTCCGGTAACGGGTGCTTGTTGCTTATGACGTTCGTATACATACAATACTTACGTTAGTTTTTGACTGTATCACCGTATTCCAAAAGCATATCAACTTTTTACCATAATAAAACCCTATCAACAAAAATTGTTGCATCTCAGAAAAAACTCTCCCTTGAATTTATTTATTTTTTTTAAATACTAATGGCTTCTTTTATTTCCACCGCATGAGAATATCGAGAGTTTCTTCTGCATAGAAGAATGAATAGAAGCAAAGCCACCTAAGTAATATCTTGTTTTTATAAAAATATATTTACTTATCTGGTTTTTTCCTTCCTGTGAGCTTATTTTTTGACGGATTTTGAAATTTTTGGGGTCAAAATGTTGCAAAAAAAAGTACCGGTTTTAAAAAGTTTTTGTTCCAAAAAACTTGGTTATCCTAAAAAATTAAAAGTCCATTACATTAAATCCTATATGCCATTAGACAAGTAGAGAAAAATTTCGTTTACAATTTTTCACATGATCAGACATAATTTTCAAAAATTAAATAAAAAATTTTTATCGTAGAATGATCTCCTGAATCCCAAAGATGGAAAAAAAATTGATTGTGCCATTTAAAATTCTAAAATTACTTACACATTGTCAAAAATTTGGAACTTAAGCCTATATTACGCCTTCTAAATTTCATATCGCAATTCCGAGCGGTTTAGAAGTTATAGAGTGAAGATAGAGTTTTCTTGTGTCACCCGGTATATGTAAAAAGGAAAAGGAATTAAATGAGACATACAGCATTCGTTTTACATATAAAATACACTAGACTAGATTGACTATTTAAAAAAATATCTGTATATCAATGTTTGTATATGAAAATTCCTGACTTTTAGAATAAAACTGGCTACGTCACTGGATTTGATCAAAAAAACCCTATGCGGACCTTTTCGATACTTTTACTCATAACCGCAAAATTTCCGAATTATTTATTTAAAATTCCAAGATAATTCACTATTACATTTCTGTGTGTGCCACCCACGCCGAGCGCTCAAAATACATAAAAACTTTTTATCTCCACACGAAAAGTTTCGTTGGCGGAGCGGGAGCGGTAGGGGGTGGCGGGGGGATAACATCGAACGCTCCTCGAACTTGCAATACTAAAAACGAAATTAAAAATTAAAATTAACAAGAAAAACTTTTTAACGTCAAGTTTCGGTAATTAGATGAAACTCAGCGCATATTTATTTTATTTAACTTGGAAAATTTTCGGTTATTAAAAGTTGAGCTTAATTGAAAACGAGCCCCTAATTCGGAAACGAAACTTAAGCCCTTCAACTTTCAAGCGGCGCGATCCCCCCACCCCCAAGCCACTTATAGCGTCGTGGTAAGTTTTTCGAAGGGGGGAGGGGGTGGGGTCCGGATGAAATGTGCATATTCGAACGGTGTTACATTGTAAATCGCATAAAAATGTTCTTTAAAAAATAAATATTTTAATATTTGTAATATTTTTAATAATTTTTAACCAATGAATTAACTGATTAATTTTTTTGTTCGAAAACAACATATCTGGCAACCCTGTATATGAGCAAATCTTCTAAACTATGAACTATGTAAAGCAACTGAAGCAAACCGTAGTAAATTGGACTACTATTGCGTGTCATAAAATCCAGGTTTCGAATTGATTTATTTATAATTAGACCATAATGGCCCACAAAAATTAGTTTACAGTCAAATTCTTGTAAAAACATCGATATGAGTGTCATTAATACTTCATTTGTACCACACACATTGAGCGAATAAAACTGCCTAGCACTTTTTAAATAGACAATTCGAATCCAAAATTATGTCAACAATATCGTTTATAAATATGATGAAAAAAGAGGCCCACATCGTGATCCCCGAGGAACCCCAAAAAATATTTTAATTAAACTGAAAATACTGCTATATTTATTTATACGTACCAACTATTTACAATCAGACACAAAGCTCTGTATCCACACAAAAAGCACAATGACAAACTTTAGAAAAGTCGGTATAAACACTTAATCAAAACTCTCAAAAGCACTTAAAAGATATTGTTAGTATACTAACACAATGTAGTTGCCGACATTACTTTTACCACCACTTTTGTAAAGTAGTGTTGAAAAGCTGATCTCCCAAAAATCTTAAAAAATTCCTGAAGATAATGCTTGCTTAAAATACCAACGCAATTTCTAACCAAAACAGACGTAATTCCATCAGGTCCATGAGAAAACTTATTTTGAAGATTCGTGATACCATCAAACTCATCATTTAGTGAAATTCGATTATGTACAGCAGTTTAATTAAGTTAATTAAAGAATCACTTCATATTTTCTTGAAGTATCAGTTTTAAACTAATTATTGAATAGCGCCATCTAACGTGCCCACGTTTAAACCTGTATTGTTTTTGTTAGTTTTACGGTGTAACGCCAGAGGGACGCCAACTGGGGATTTTTCTTGATATAAAGTTAGGAGATTAGTTGGTGACTTTTGCGTTTTTTTTTTTGAGACTCTCCATGCGGGATGTTTGGAGGGAATCTGCAATCGAAGGTTGTTGAAATAAGGTAATTTTTTGTATGATTAACAGTTCTCGATATACCTATCCCAGAAGCAATACACAATAAATGTATGCAAAAGATTATAGAATGAAATATCACCAAATAAAAAATTTGAATTTGAACTCAAATGACCTTGAAGTTTAGACGTGGGCACATATGTGAAACTTTAAAATTTGAAAGTGTAAACCGAAATCGGCCTGTATGGACATACTGTAAGTAGACTCTGCGCTAAGTCACTTAAACGCTATAGCTAACGACTGGTGCGCAGTACCGCGCAGTCAGCTTTTAAACGTCGAATAAGGAAATGGATTTGCACGCCCTTTACGTCAGCGGTGGCGCATTTATTTATGCAAATGGCGTCGGACACGTAAGCGGGGCCGTTCCTGCTGAAATTTCATGGCCGCAGAAACGGCAGGAAATTAAAACAAGATCCGTTCGACAATAACACACACACACACATACATACAAGCGCGCTCGCGCTCGAACTCACAGAAAGACGCGCGGCGAATTTGTTTCGAATCTTCGAGCAATTTCCCGCACGAGGTGATTTAATTTTCTTTCGGAAAGATACGCCTCGATATCCAATTTTCCGTATGTACACCGTGTGTCAAATAAAACGAGCCACTGTACGGTGTGGAAATACGAAAAAATGGATACAAAAGTTCCTTGGACCCTCCTGAAAATTTAAAATATTATAATTTTGTTGATACAGGGTGTCCCAAAATCGCCCCCCCCCCCGACATCAACTTTGTTATTTTAAATGGAACACCCTGTATATTTCGACATTTTTGTTGTTGTTTGTTTATACCTTAATGCAAAAAAAAGATTGTGATGTCACAGTCAACTACAGTTTTAAATATTTTTATATTTCTTTTTTTTTTATGCCAGAGTACATAATAACAAAAATAAATAATTAAAGTTTATAGGCTAACTAAACAAATTGAATAAATTTTGAAATTCGAAATTTGCATAAATGAATCGATAAAACAAAAATTCAACTAAACTTTTTTAATTCGGTAATTCGGTCCATAAAGTTTAGTTCCTCTCCTCTTAAAATGCTCATTTCATCTGGCACCAAAACAATAAAGAAATATAAACATATTTAAACTGTAGTTGGTTGCGGCATCACAATTTCTTTTTCGCATTTAGGTAGGTGGGTACAAACAACAACAAAAATGTCGAAATATTGTAACGGCCATTTATATCAGCGACTTATTTATATTTGTGAGCTCATCTGTTACACTTTTAGACTGACTGGCCAGAGAACGGCGATTTCCTTTTATACGTTGCGCCCTCTGGCGAAGAGTATCGAATCTCTTCTCAACAAGCCCCATCTGTAACCATGCGTTTCCAAGTCGCAGTGTATTCAATTCTAACAATTAAATCCATTATTTTTTTATGCAGCAAAGACGAAACAGTAACTAAGGATAACTTAAGATAACTCAATT